ACCCCAGTTTATTAGGGCTGCTGCACCAGCCGCACTTCTCCCCGTGCAAGCTCCCCACCTTAATTAAATCTCACAAATATTGGAACGATTTGTTCATTAAATGTAGAAACAGAAATGTAATTCAACTCCATGTTTGAAATGAGCCAGAAAATTAAATTTTCGTTTCTGTGGCAACTGTCACATTACCAGATTATTAACCTATAGTTGCACCCTCAAAAAAAAAGCCCTTCATTGATTAGTTGTTAAGTTTTAAAAATGATGTCACTAGAATTTCCGAAAACATAGAACTTCCTCAGAAGGGTTTCTGCTAGACCCATCTTTTCATCTGGAAGTCAAGAACTACGTGAAGAGGGCCGTTACCCTTATCGTGAAATGGAGAAAAGACTGAGGAGAACAAGCACTGGAGGAGATTCTGCACTACAAGGAGGCCACCTGGCCAACAGTCTTCAGTGTCTATTTACGCAGTGTGCTTATTTGTAGTCAGTATTCTCATGTGCCATTTTGGCTACACACTCCACTGCCAGTTTTGTATACTCTACGGTTTTGTCAGTAAGCTGGATCATGCTCAGCTGTAAACATGGGCTCCCAATTTCACAACCTTGGTAACTGACACTGCCGTGAAACTACAACATTTGAGAGGCCTTTCTGAAGATCAGTTGTCTCCCTGCTCGTGGCAGGGCTCCTATCCTGTTTCAAAAGAAAAAAACTAGTAACCACGTCTTTTCCACATCTGTGGATGTTTATCATAGAAGGCAGAAATAACTAAAAAGATTACAACAGCAACCTGAAACTATTTAACATGCAATTCTTTTTTTAAGCACGTATTTTACTGTTTCACTTCTACTACTGAATGCAGTTAGATCCTGCTCAGGGTTGCTGCTCTGTTTTCTAGGGTGGAGGTCAAAATCCTAAAAGGAGCTTCCCAACTGCAAATTACACCAGTCTCTGGAGTACGAAATCCGCACGCAAGAACACGCAGGCAGCTCTGTCAGTTGCTCTCAAATTCAGCTCCACTAAATCATATGCGAGGTGTTACTGAAAAGGTTTTCTTAAAAAAAAATAATTCTAGTTTGAAGTCATAATTTATTCCTACTACTAAAGAGTTGCCTTCACTACACTTAGCATTTTCAAAAAATCTCACACCTGGGTTACAATAATTAGAGTACCTTCTGTATTCATCACCAGAAATTACTGTTAGTTCATTGACCTTAAAATACCTCTTAGTTAATCCATTTCAAATTACAGACGGACCTTTTATTTATAGCGAGTACTAATCATTTTCTGATCTCAAAGCTGAGTTACATTTGCATGGTTTACTTCAAAACTTCATATTTATTTTATCTTCTTAAATCTCATTGTATACAAATCCTTGTACATTGAGCCACATCTTGGTACTGCACCTTACTTCCCACGTATTCATCGTCAATGTTACCGCTTTTTAAGGCATGTGCGTTGCTGAGCTCCTTCCCTGCCCATGCATTTATTTATATGCCTTTTGATTTATACCCTGGCCCATCTGCACTGGGCAAGCTGTGGGCCCATCCTGTGTAATTAAGAAGTTAAACTGAAGGCAAGTGTGATTGGATACATCGTGTACCACGGCCAAAGATGTACGTGGGATTTACTACAGCGACTTCACTGCATTTATGCTTACTTAAATGATGAGAGAGTTTGGCTATACCCCCCAATCCTGCTGCTTGAAACAAGTCAGTGTTCTCAGGCTCTCCTTTAAACCTTGACTGTGCTATGAAAATTGGGTTTGTATTGGTACTAATAATGGCAGGTAATTCTAATAAAGCTTCCCACTACATGATTAGACTGGTCCTGCGTCCTCCTAAGGGACATCCTCACTTCAATGTTACCAGCATCTGTGCTTACAGACTCCTCCTGCTCCCCAACAGCCCCTCAGAAATAACAATCAAACCTGAAAAGTTTCCCTGATGCATTGCATCTACATAACCGCTGCACTCAGCAGAAGAATCTGAAATCCCAAATGAATTTAGACTGAAGATTAGAAAAGCGTGGAAAAATCTGATTGCTTCAACCATAATTTATTTCCTGAATCTAGCGTAAGGGAAATAAATGTGGTTTATTCTAAGATTAAATGCAATGGCAAAATCTAATTATACTAGCCAGTCAACATAAATCCCAAATTGAGTGCGTGTACACAACACACGGTACAGCAATTAGACTTCCAATCTAAATGGAGAAGGCACTGCGTGTATATCTGGGCATTAAAAATATTTAAAGAATTTAACTGGAATATTTTAAGAATGTGAATAAGATGGGCAACAAAGCCACTAAGGATCAAAATATGCAGTACAAGTCTCAAAAACTCCAGGCTATAGTGAAATGGCTCATTCTCCATCATACTATGGGTTTTAAAACAAAGTTGATCGCTGTTTCCTGAAGCAGATGAATACAGATAGAAAAACATGCTGAAAAAATGAGAGTTATAATAACTTTAAACAAACTGGATGCAAGTATGTTGGCTTAATTAATGTTATATGGAGCTGTGATCCCTATAAGAGATACTACACTGCAACAGGATCCTCCACCATTTACCTGGTATCTCTGTGGTAACCCAGGACAGCTGCCAGTAGAGAACAGCCATGGGAAAGGAGATGGCTTGGAGGAACTCATGATGTGACTTGGCTTCTCAACTACAAACTAGGAAGGACTGCTTGGGGTTTTTTGTTTGTTTTGGTTTTAAGAGAGGAGAATGGAAATTCGTACTTTTAAATTTTCATTTCACCCTAGTTTGATACTCTGCAGGTGTTCTAGCATTGCCTTTATCTTAGCTCCTTAAAATCTCTTTTAGGTCTCTTTTTGCATGTTACAGTACCTAATAATCTGCCTAAGATTTTCTCCTGCCTTGTACTTGAATACTGAACCACTGATTTTCACTGTATTTTGGATGTTCAGGTGGATTTGTTTTAACATGTCTAAAATTTGGCTATTTCTTTTCCTGACATTTACCTGCTTGAAAAACAGAGGTCTTGAGGAACTTTTTGTATGCAGACTGAAGAACAGTATTGCAGTTCTGCAGCATTATATTCTTCTTAATTTCATGGGTTTGGTCAGACTGAAAGCAGAATGTAGTACTTCATGTTGTACAACTGATTTTGAACTAATACTTTTGCCCAATTCCATGGATATGAACTGAGAGATACAGGTAAAAACAAACTGTATTCCTCACTCTGCCACTGACACAATATGTAGCCCTGAGCAAATTATTATCCTCTCTCTACTTGCATTTTCCCATCTGTTAGGATTCCCCATGGGGGTTTCTAGCTTAATAATGCATTAGTCTTTGCAAAGCACTTCAAAAGCCTTTGATATGCATAGCTTATGTGCAGTGGGATTTTTTTTTTTAAATATGACAAAGTGAAGTCTAATAATTTCTGGGCAACCTTTTTGACCCACAAAAAGCACGATTTCCTTGTATTTATTAGAAAACCAAAGGAAGAGGTGCAGGCATACTGAGATCCCATAGTACCGAGGACACGCTGTAGCACCCCTGATTTGCAGTATCACACTCCTCGCTGCCCAATTTTAAAGTGATGGAGACAGAAGTCCTTACCCCTCTCTCGTAATAAGAGACCACAGGTCTCTTCCTCCTCTGGAGTGGCATTAGGGTCTCTGGGTCCAATTTGGAGAGATGAGAGGCAATCAGAGGAACCACCTTGGCAGTCAATACCTTCCCACGCATTGACCAAGACATCTGGGGAAATTCATACCTCTCAGATCTGCCGTTACAGATAGTGAAGATGTTAACCTAGGTCTGTTTCTTTGGTTTTTTTCATCCTTGTAAATATGAGGGCTAGTGTCTTTAAGGAAATGGGAGAAACTGAATTCTGGTCCGTCATTAACTTTGTGCCAGGGGCCCTGAGCAAGGTATGTTGTGCTTATGTTTTAATCCAGGCTCGGCGTTCTGTACTCTGCTGGAACCAAAGTAGTGTTTTGCAGCTT